GTCACTGATCCTTAACTGATCTCATAGGGACCTGGTTGTAAACTACCTGAGGAATTGTGTTCCAGGATAGATGAATAGGGTTAGGTAAATGATGAGCTGTGAGGAGAGAAAGCTCCTACCCTGCTGACAGGAGTCAAAAGTCGTCTCACCTATTAAAAAAATTATTGAGAAACATCGATAAATGGACGAACGTAAATTAATCAAAACAGGCGACAAAACCTGTAAATCCTTTACAGGATTCCCTTGAATCCTGTAAAAGGAATGTTCTCACACAGCTAGGAACACAAAACTGCACATGAGATTCTGGAGTAGCTGCAGTCGGTCGTAAAAAAAATATGAGGGGCGGGTCCCGAGAGCTGGAACCTGTTCCTCATACGCACAAATACGCAAGAAAACGCACACACAAGTATTCGCATGTACGCACGCGCGCGCGCACACACACACACACACACACACACACACACACACACACACACACACACACACACACACACACACACACACACACACACACATAACACACAACACACACACACACACACACACACAGCTGAAACGCAAAAGGTTCAAAACTAGTTGGGTCAAGCTAAGATAAAGAACAAGACCTCATTCCATCATAGATACTGATAGGTAAGTACTCGGAGTTTAACCCTGAAAACTTTAAAGTTATGAGTAAGACTTCAAGATCAATACGGAATATATGGAAACCAACTCTTTGAGCCAGTGAGAAATACCTTGAACTGAACATAATCTGAATTCATTGTCTGAATTGAATTCAGACAATGTGTGATTCAATGTGAATCACACATTGTCAGCGATAATTGTTAGGTACGTGGTACTCCTGACAGGTACTTCTGACAGATACTCCTGTGATCAGTCAAAGGCTGTGATCAGTCAAAGGCTGTGATCAGTCAAAGGCTGTGATCAGTCAAAGGCTGTGATCAGTCAAAGGCTGTGATCAGTCAAAGGCTGTGATCAGTCAAAGGCTGTGATCAGTCAAAGGCTGTGATCAGTCATAGCGATGTTGTCACCGACTGATGTCCTCTCATTCTGATGATAGCACTGTCTTACGTCTGGCCCTATTGATATCTGTATCAGCTGATATCCACAATGGCTGATATCCGCACGGGCTGTTATCCGTACATCTTACATGTGCAGGTATACGGGACAGGTGCTTGGTCGACGCCCACCATCATCACACACCAGTAAAGATCTTCGAAGAGACGGCAGAAAAATATAGCTTCGAATTAATCAATAATCGACAAACCGACAAAAAATCTCAAACGTAACAATGAAACGTTACTAGAACAAACAACGATAGAACAAATAAACTGCTAAATCGACAGAATTTGACACACTTTGTTTACAAAAGAAGAAATCAAATCCATTCAAGGTTTTATTTACCAAACAAAGGCTCGTGGGAGCAGGAAAGGAGGAGGGGGGACCTTTTGGTTGGATATGATGAGCTCAGGCGCTAAGATCTCCTGTGTCCCCAGAGGGAGGAGGACTAGGCCAAGAAGGGAGAGGGAGAGAGGGAGGGAGGGAGGGAGAGAGGGCGAGAGAGAGATGAGAGAGGAGAGGAGAGAGAGAGAGAGAGAGAGAGAGAGAGAGAGAGAGAGATGAGAGAGAGGCGAGAGAGGGATGGAGGGTGGAGGAGAGAGAGAGAGAGGAGAGAGAGGCCAACAAGGAGGAGGAAGAGGCAAATGGTAGGAGGAGGAGGAGGAGGAAGGAGAGGTAGCAAAAAATTCGGCAGGGACCGAGGACGAGGAGGAATAGATAAATCAAGGAAGAGAAAGATAAACGAAGGAGAGGCCAAAACGGAGAAGAAAGAGTAAGGCAAGAAAGTAGAGGAGTTAAAAAAGGAAGAGGATGAGTCGATGTGTACCAACGAGAAATATAAGACGGAGAAGAGACAAGAAAAACTAAAAAGAGGCGATGGAAAAGAAGCAAAAAAGAAGGCGGAGGAGGAGGAGAAGAGAGAAAAAGAATACAGGAAGAATAAGGGAAACAAAGCACAATAAAACACACCCACCCACTTGAGAACATCTTACCAACATGAAGAGCAATTTACATACCACCGAGGATGGTGGCTATATGGCGATTCTGATTCCTTTTGGGGAGAGTATTGATAGATGAATAATGCAGAGTTTGAGGCGACATGTGAGTTCTGGCGTACGACGCCAAATTGCTGACGCAACGATTCATATATGACGCAAAGTTTTGGATGCAAAATGTGACGCAGAATAATGTCAACTGTGACCAGAGGCAGGAGGAAGGAGTCGCTCATTCAGGAGTCAACCTCAAAAGAGGATGCATATATATATATATATATATATATATATATGTCGTACCTAGTAGCCAGAACGCACTTCTCGGCCTACTATGCAAGGCCCGATTTGCCTAATAAGCCAAGTTTTCCTGAATTAATATATTTTCTCTAATTTTTTTCTTATGAAATGATAAAGCTACCCATTTCATTATGTATGAGGTCAATTTTGTTTTATTGGAGTTAAAATTAACGTAGATATATGACGGAACGTAACCAACCCTACCTAACCTAACCTAACCTATCTTTATAGGTTAGGTAAGGTTAGGTAGCCGAAAAAGTTAGGTTAGGTTAGGTTAGGTAGGTTAGGTCGTCGAAAAACAATTAATTCATGAAAACTTTGCCTATTAGGCAAATCGGGCCTTGCATAGTAGGCTGAGAAGTGCGTTCTGGCTACTAGGTACGACATATATATATATATATATATATATATATATATATATATATATATATATATATATATATATATATATATATATATATATATATATCAGGAAAAGCTGGTTACACTTAGCTTCATTTTCACTCGTTATGTTAAACTTCATTTCCACTAGTTACACCATCATTTCCGGCATCGTGACTCGGAAGACTGAGTGAAGCAAGACTCCGACTCCTCCTTCACAAGTGTGTCTGTGCTTGAGGATGCTTTGGCACACACTGTGTACATGACATGGTGCGGTAATGCACCTTGAAGTAAACAATGATATCACCGAGGATGCTTACAATCTGTTATTAATTTGTTGCGTTGATCTCTCTCTCTCTCACACACACACATACACACACACACACACACACACACACACACACACACACACCACACACACACACACACACACACACACACACACACACACATGACAGACCTGGATTTATTTGCTTACTGTCGAGGCTGTGTACACAGCGTGAGAACCAGAACAGGTTGTGTCTGTCTGTCTGTCTATTAATCTAACAACAAGAATTTTCTTTGACAAGACAATTTTATTAAAAACTTTGCATTGTTACCGACATTAACCTCATACCCTAAACAATCTATAACTATCATAAAGTTAAATACCATTTATACATATATTTTGTTAAGCCAAAACCACTTCTGATGAGTTCTCTCCCCACAGTTTCTCTACTTTTCCAGCCTTGTTGTAAACCCTTTCCCATGTCCCAGTCTTCCTTCCCAGGCCCCCTCTCTCAGTCATTTCTTCTCTCCCATCTATTGGTTATCTTCCCTACTTCACCCCGGCACAGAGCGCAAGCACCTGACGTCTTCTGATAGCTTCATCTACTCTCGTGTTCTTGAGGATATTCTGATTGGTTAACAAACTCCATCAACCCCCACCCCCCTGGGCGGCTAACAGGCTTTATGCCCAATTCTCACTCATCATCAGATTAGTGTAGTCACATAAATGTAGCTGTACCTCCGTTGATAAAACATAAAAGTATCCCAACTTACCCTATTTAAGTCCCTCACATCTCATTCTCCAGCAAACCTGGTTGTGAGGAGTGTCTAGCAGCCTTGAGGCGCCCTATCATGAGTCTCATTCATTACCTAGTCCTTAAATACCTTTGGTGCTTCAAAGCACACTGCCATATTTTATGCAGAGAGAGAGGAGAGAGAGAGAGAGAGAGAGAGGAGAGATGACGAGAGAGAGAGAGAGACGAGAGAGAGAGAGAGAGAGAGAGAGAGAGAGAGAGAGAGCGAGAGAGAGAGAGAGAGAGAGAGAGAGAGAGAGAGAGAGAGAGGAGTGAGAGAGAGAGAGAGAGAGATGAGAGAGAGAGAGGGGAGAGACGAGAGAGAGAGAGGAGAGAGAGAGAGAGAGAGAGAGGAGAGAGAGAGAGAGAGAGAGGGAGAGAGAGAGGAGAGAGAGAGAGAGACAGAGAGAATTGAATCAGTGAGACAGAGATATAAAAAGGCAAGGACAGAGAAAGAGAGGGGCAAAGGCAGAGAGAGAGAGGGAAAGGATGACAATTAAGAATATTATGATAAAATGAAGGTAGTGATTGTGAAGGGCGAGGGAGGAAGCAGAAGGGTGGAGGAATTACTCAAATAGAAACGAAGCAGCTGGAAATGTGAGATCAAGAGGAGAGAAAGTTAATGGGGAATGTATGGAACGAAGGAAGAGGAGAAAATATGTCATGAGATGGAAAGGAGGTTCAAGCAGAATAGCTCAGAAAAGGTGATCAAGAATAAGAGGACCACGAGGAAGAATAATGGGAGGTGAAAAGGTCGAAAAAGATGACAAAAAGGAAGATGAAGCGTAGGCGGAGAAATAGGGAAAGATGAAGAAGAAAACAACAAAGCATACAGCAAAGAAAAGGAATAATGACAGGATCTGGAGGTGGAAGAGATGAAGAGGAGAAGGACTAGAAGAGGAGCTCAAGAAAAAAAAAGACAACAAATAAACTTTCCTAAGAATACAAGCAGAAAAAAACTGCACAGAAGACGCAAAGGAAGAACAAGCAACCAAGAATAAAAACGGAAAGATTTAGACCAATCCCCCCTCCCCCCACCCCCCAAAAAAAATCATCGTCTACAACGGAACAGAAAACGGAGGAAAACAAAAGAAGTGAGAATTAAAGATGAAAAAGAACAACCGGCAGGAAAAAGAAAGTGAGAGGGAGAGTGAAAGGGACGGAGGATTTGGAAAGGGGTCGCTTGGGGAGGGAAAGAAATGGGGGATAGTCAGAGAGAGACAAGAGCCGGATAGAACCGTTGAACTGATGTGGTGAGGGGCCCCGTGTGATCCACAGCGGTGGTGGGGGCGTTCTGTGATCCACAGCGGTGGTGGGGGCGCTCTGTGATCCACAGCGGTGGTGAGGGGCCCCGTGTGATCCACAGCGGTGGTGGGGGCGTTCTGTGATCCACAGCGGTGGTGGGGGCGCGCTCTGTGATCCACAGCGGTGGTGGGGGGCGCTCTGTGATCCACAGCGGTGGTGGGGGCGTTCTGTGATCCACAGCGGTGGTGGGGGGCGCTCTGTGATCCACAGCGGTGGTGGGGGGCGCTCTGTGATCCACAGCGGTGGTGGGGGGCGCTCGTGATCCACAGCGGTGGTGGGGGCGCTCTGTGATCCACAGCGGTGGTGGGGGGCGCTCTGTGATCCACAGCGGTGGTGGGGGCGCTCTGTGATCCACAGCGGTGGTGGGGGGCGCCGTGTGATCCACAGCGGTGGTGGGGGGCGCTCTGTGATCCACAGCGGTGGTGGGGGCGCGCCGTGTGATCCACAGCGGTGGTGGAGGGCGCTCTGTGATCCACAGCGGTGGTGGGGGGCGCGCCGTGTGATCCACAGCGGTGGTGGGGGGCGCTCTGTGATCCACAGCGGTGGTGGGGGGCGCTCTGTGATCCACAGCGGTGGTGGGGGCGCTCTGTGATCCACAGCGGTGGTGGGGGGCGTTCTGTGATCCACAGCGGTGGTGGGGGGCGCTCAGTGATCCACAGCGGTGGTGGGGGGCGCTCTGTGATCCACAGCGGTGGTGGGGGGCGCTCTGTGATCCACAGCGGTGGTGTGGGGAAGCAGTCTGATCTTTACCAGCACTTATAAAATAATACACTTAGAAAAGTACACATCACAGGTACAAGCACACTGTGGAACATATGTAGATGTCTATATTGTGGAACATGTGTAGGTGTCTACACTGTGTAACATGTGTAGATGTCTATACTGTGGAACATGTGTTGATGTCTACACTGAAGATGATCAGATGAATGATGAGAATAGTAGCATGAAAAACATTTCTTCAGCGTGAATGAAATGAATGTGTTGATGCAAAACGGACGAGAACACTCAGAAATGCGATATATGTTAAATGATTTAGTTTCCAAAAGTGGTCTGAAAGTGGCGTCTTGACTTAAACGTTGACAAATGCAATGTTATGAGAATATCAATATGAGAGAGTAGTCACAAAATTACGTAGATAATACAAGGGTACAACTGAAATAACACTACAATGATGAATTACAATAGTTTCTACCAAAAGTTTGGTCAGTGTCAGATAAAATGATGATACACATCCTTTGTAAGATGACAAGTCATTATAGTTATCACTGTAGTTATCTGTGCAAATTAAAAACAGTCTTAAATACGAACAGACAACTGTAAACAAAAATGACATTTCCATGAAGTACAAATGATCAAGGAGGCGGGGCCAAGAGCTGATGCTCGGCCCTGCAAGCCCATCTAGGCGAGTGTACGCGTACATGCGTCCCTCCCACACTCTGACAGTCTCAACCAGCCAGTCGCAGTCGTGAAGTTCAACTGTCACCATCCACTTGTCACTAATTAATAGACTGTTAATCTGGAGGCGGCGTCTCCTCCAAGAATCCGTCCCCGCGCCCCAAGAACGCCGGACGTAAGGTATTCAGCGAGTCGCCGATCGATTTTGGACTGTATGAGCACCGAAACACGCCAGGCCGTTCGGCCCACGGCAAGACGCAGGATTAATTAAATTGGAATTGAAGAGCCCAGCCGGTCACCTCAAACTGGCGAGCTGAAGACATAAAGTCAATAGGACGGAGATCTGCGAATTGGTGGGACATCCTCTCCTCCTCCTCGTCGTGGCAGGGGGACCTCGACGACGTCACTGTGACTTCTGATAAAGGCGCCAAAGAACGCCTGGCCCCCTCTGTCCTTCTTCAGGCGTTGTGTGGCACTGGCACCGTCGACGGCTCTGAGACACGCAGGTGTGTGGCACCTCTCACCTCATCAATATTTCCTACATGATGCTTTGTCATATCTTTCTTGTCTACCCTTCTTCTCCTAGTCATCCGTTACACTCATCTCCCTTTACCTCCTCTTACTTTCCCTCTTTCCTCCTGCAACAGGGAGCCAGATGGAGCCCCCACACAAGGGTGGCATTGCAACAGGGGGGGCCAGATGGAGCCCCCACACAAGGGTAGCACTGCAATAGGGGGGGCCAGATGGAGCCCCACACAAGGGTAGCACTGCAATAGGGGGGGCCAGATGGAGCCTCCACACAAGGGTGGCACTGCAATAGGGGGGGCCAGATGGAGCCCCGCACAAGGGTGGCACTGCAATAGGGGGGGCCAGATGGAGCCCCCACACAAGGGTAGCACTGCAATAGGGGGGCCAGATGGAGCCCCACACAAGGGTGGCACTGCAATAGGGGGGGCCAGATGGAGCCCCGCACAGGATGGCACTGCAATAGGGGGGGGCCAGATGGAGCC